TAAGAATAGATAGGGCCCAATTTTCACTCTTAAGGTATACTCACCGTGGACTGTTCAATCATTCAAGATCAAAAGGACAATCTTTACCTATACAAAGTTTTTCCAATAGAGGGGAAATGACAGTCTTGTTACTTTTCTTTTATAGCCATAATTAAATTTCAACTTTTACATTGATATGTAAGTACGTCATACAGCATACCAGTGTTTTGACTCACAAGGTAGCTGTAATACCAAATGGTATATGAACAGCCTGCCAAAGTTTATGTTGTTGTCAAGTGCCATTGGGTCGGTCCCAACTCATTAGAAAAGGAGCAGCTGGTGGGTTTGAACCACCAACCCTGTGGTTAGTATTCCAGTGCGTATCTTACAGCACTATACCACAAGGATGATTTTCAGTGGTGCAAAGGCATTTGCCACCATTAGGGCCTCTCCTTTCTGGCTTCCTCTCCTCCATAATTTGCCTCATCCTGATAGCCTTCATACTGCCCTATCTGTAGTATGGTTCTACCCTGGCCTACAAGTAAACCTGAGTAGGGTCAACGGGAGATTAGAAATAAAAGAAAGACACAAAATGAGAATAGTAAAGTTGGGACCAGGTGGGACACAGCACTGTGATGGAGATACTGTGGCTCCGACTTAGGTTCAGCCCATTTATTATATACACACATCAGCTGGGGGCAGGGAAAAGACTGCAAAAAAAACTATTAGTGTATAGATGTAAGCAGTAAGCGGGACTTTATCAGAAGAATGTAGTTGCTAGGGAAACTGAGATAAGGTAGCTAGATTTTGGCAGCCATGGCTGCATACAAGGAAAGACTGCAAATTCCTTGTTCCCTGAGTCAGGCTTTGCAAGTTCCTCAGGGGGCAGCCTGACCTGGGGGCAGCCTGGTTTTCTGGACCACAGCTGTTTAGTTGTAATCCTTTGATTAAACTCCCCCCAAGTGTGAGACTTTTGGCTCAAATCACTCCCAACATGGTTCAGAAATCATCTGCATGATTGTCAGCTAAGGAGCTTATTAAAAAATACAGATTCATAAGCCTTACCTGACCCCAAGAATTAACGCTTTTGAATTGTCGTGTTGGCATAGAATATTGAATGTATTATGAGCTGGCCAAAAAATGATCAAATCTATCATGGAAGAAGTTAAGCATGCTCTTTAGAAGGGAAGATGGCAAGACTTTGTCTCACATACTTCAGACAGGTTATCAGGAGGGAGCGGTTCTTGAAGAAAAGCACCATGCTTTATAAAGTAGAGGGTCAGAAAATAAGAGAGAGCCCTTCAGTGAAATGGACTGACAGTGGCAGCAAAAGTGGACTCAGGCACAGCAATGGTTGTGAGGATGATACAGGAAAGGGCAGTGTAGGAACAGACATGAGATCCCAGCTGTTTTTAATTAAACCTGATGTTGTTGTTAAGTGCCATTGAGTCAGCTCCAACCCACAGTAACCCTGTATAGGATTTCTGAGGAGTGGCCAGTAGGTTTGAACCACTGACCTTGAGGCCCAGTGCTTATCCTACAGTGCCACACTAGGACTCCAGATAAAACCTGTTACCAGTATCACAAAAAGTTAAAAAAAAAAAAAAAAAAAAAAAAGCCACTCTTTTCATTATTATTTTGTTTTAGAAAATATTTTTCACTAAAAATATATATTTACATGTGATGGGTTTATTACTTTTTGAATGATTAGCATAAATATTATGTTTTTCCTTTTTAAAATTTTTAATATTAGATACATTGATTGATGATGATGATGTGTGCCGTTGAGTCAATTCCAACTCATAGCAACCCTATAGGACAGAGTAGGACTAACCTAAGGGTTTCCTAGTCTGAAACTTTTACTGAAGTAGATCACGATGGCTCTTCTTATGTAGAGAAGCAGGTGGAGTTCAGCTGCCAACCTTCTTCAGTGCTTAACCAGTGGGCAACCAGATTCCTTATTGATAGAAAAAACATTTCTAGTTTGCATCCTGATTGCTAAGACAAAAACCGGTATATAGTAAAAATCCAAGCATGATTTTATCCTTTTGTTATAAATTGTGGTTTAGGGCAATTGGTATTTGGAATTACCTCAAATTCTCATATAAAGGAAACAATATCAAATACTTTTAATTGTTCCAAAATACATATTTGCAATATTATAATTTGAAATTACGCCTGATAGCATACTGGATTATGAGTTGGGCTGCTAACCACAGGTCAGCAATTCTAATCTACCAGCTGCTCTGAGGGAGGAAGATGAGACTTTCTACTCCTGTAAAGATTTACATCCTCAGAAACCCTGTACAGGGTTACTATGAGTCAGAACCGGCTCCAGCACATAATCACTGACCACCATCTATTTATGTTTGGGAGCATGGTGGTACCATAGGATAAGCACTAGACTTTAAACCACAAGATTGGTGGTTCAAGCTCACCAGCCACTCTGCTAGAGAAAGATGAGACTTTCTGCTCCCACAAAGGTTTTAGGAAGTCTATACAGAGTCACTATCAGTGACTTAACAACAATAACATATTTATGTATAGGAAAATGATGAGGCTGCCTGAGCCCATAAAATTTGCAGTCCCTAAAACCTATGGATTAGTTCTACTCTGTCTTTTAGTTGTTGTTCTTAAGTGCCGTCAAGTCGATTCTGACCCATAGCAACCCTGTATAGGGTTTCCGAGGAGCAGCTGGTGAGCTGGAACCGCTGACCTCGTCTTCTAGAGTTGTTATGAATTAGAATCAACTCAGTGGCAGTGGGTTTATTTTCTTGGTTTTAGGTATTTACATACATATCTAAGTATTTTTAATTTTCCTTTCTAGTCAGACATAATGCTTCTATTTCACCTTCTTCTTATGACAATATGCCTTCAGTTAGTTTTTTGTATTTTTTTAATGTTTTATTGTGAGTTATATGGTACTTTACATGGGAGACCATTAGCTTTACATGCATCCTATCTATCATTTCATTACCATGGTTACAATCCCCTCCATGCATCATCACCTAACCAAAGGGTATACCCTGCAAGCCTGACCCCTGGTCTTCGGTTTGTTTTTGATATATTTCAAGTAAGCAAATTGATTAGTAAGAAGTAGGGCCAGAATTATTCATGTTTTAGAAAGGTATTTATGAGTAAAAGTAGGCTGGAGAATATACTCCACAAATGTCTTTGCTTTTTTATGTTTTACCATCTTTTAATAAGGTACATGTGTTAATTTCATAATTAAAAAAAAAAAAAAACTTTAAAAGTAAGTTCTATCTGTAGTATTTTGGAGAAACATTACTTGCTGTCTGAATTCCAGAATGGCCATTTTAATGCTTCCAAAACTTGTTTTTTTTTCACAGTGGAATAAATTTTTAAAGTAACTTGGATTTGGGAATAATATAGTTTGTGGACACAAAAGCAGACAGCACATTCAAGAAGAGTTTATTCTTAAAAAGAAGAGTTTATTCTTTTATATTGTGGTTATGTTTTGCTCCTTTAAGGAGAATTATTAAATAGTAAACAGTACTTTCTTGATCTCTTTTATTTTGCTTACAGACTAGAAGCAGCCAAAGATGATTATCGAATACGCTGTGAAGAATTAGAAAAGGAAATCTCTGAACTTCGGCAACAGAATGATGAACTAACCACCTTGGCGGATGAAGCTCAGTCTCTAAAAGATGAAATAGATGTTCTTAGGTAAACAGTCTTCTCATCTCTTTAGAATCTCAGAACCATCATCACCTAGAACTTACATAGCAGAACTTACATAGAATCTCAGAACCGTCATCACCTAGAACAGTTTTGCCATTAATAACACAACTCCAGGACCTCTGAGATCTCTGTTAACAGCCAAACTTCCTAGCTTCAAATCCCTGTGCTATCGCGCAGTTAACCACTAGGTAACTTTTTTGTGTGCATCTGTATAATGGAAATATGGCACATAACCACCTCAGATTTGCTTGAGGAATTATTTGTAAGCACTGGGAATGGGATCTGGCAATTAAGTGCTATGTAAGTGTTGGGGTTTTTTTTTTTTTTAAATAAAAATGTTTGATCTCTTCATGAACAGTCACTTCATGCTTTTAGACTCACTGTATCAGTTCTTTAATTTTGAACTCTTTTTTCTCAGGTACTGTCACACCCTGACAAGACTTCCCACCTCATTTTTCCACCATTCCACTTTGGGTTACCATCTCTTGCTGCCATCTTTTTTTCTTTTTTTTCTACTTTTGCTCTTTGAATACTAAGAATAGAGAAAATACCAAGTGATAATAATTTGTCCTACTACACGCTGATAATCTCTTCACTGGATTCTTACCACTGAAATACCATTATACTGTCCACTAGTAGACAGCTCCATCTCACATAGCTATTACAAATTTCCGTAATTCTCAACCTGACTACCTCCCTCCTTTCATCACCTTGCCCATGCCTTGGTCTCAGGAGATGACCTTGTCTCCTGCTGCACAGGAAAAAGAGGCCATGACTGGAGAACTCACCATACCCTCTATCTCCTGTACCCCTAAACTTTCCTACATTCTCAGCCATCTCTTCTTTCCTGCCCTCTAGAACCAGATTTATATTATGTGATATCAGACTTATGTTCCCATCTCAGTCCACTAAAATTTGTCACCACCTCCCCATTTCCCACTATTTCACTGAAACAACTATTCCTGTAGTCACTCGTAACATATTAGTTATTTGAATACTCACAAACGTAATTTATTGCTGTGCTACATATATCTCTGCTTGCTACCTCCTATTTGCTTGCCTTCAGTTATATAGCATTGCCTATTATACATCTGTGTATAATTTTGGTCATATTTTTTTAACCGGAGTAGAATATTAACCAAACTCTTGGTCTTCTATTATTAGAACAAGTTATTTTCCTGGTTATTTCTCTTGTTTTAGCACTGCCTGAAGCAGCTTTACAAATGTGGGTGTGTTTCTTACCTTTAATTTCCCATCTCATTCTAGACATTCATCTGATAAAGTGGCTAAACTGGAAGGTCAAGTGGACTCATACAAAAAGAAGCTAGAAGATCTTGGTGATTTGAGGCGGCAGGTTAAGCTGTTAGAAGAGAAGAATACTATGTATATGCAGAACACTGTCAGTTTAGAGGAAGAGTTACGAAAAGCCAATGCAGCTCGAAGTCAACTTGAGACATATAAAAGACAGGTAAAATAAAGAGGAATAAAGTGTGATGCTATTTTCAAGCAAACTCTCTATTAGAATTGTATTGCTTATTGAAAAATTTTGTTTTCATGGCATTGTTTTTTCCCTATGAAACTTAGTTCTTCTCCAGAGGTTATTTATTGATCTCTATAGCAAATCTTTCTATTGTTTTCTTACAAAAAAGTAAAAGAATAATATATAAAGTAGCCATGCTTAAGAAATCAAACATACTCCTCCCTCATCAGGGATAACCAGTCTTTTGACTTTTGGTGCTATTGTTCCCATGCAGTCTTTCTACTTTGGCTACATAGATTTACAGGCAATCCCACAGTTGTTAACAAGATTCATTCATTAGTGAGTCGTTCAGTTAAATTTAAGTAGCTAAGAACAGGTAATCTGTATTTGGCATCTAAAGTGTGCCTAAGAATTCACAATTGTTGTTGTTGTTGTTAAGTGC